GATGAAAATCTGTCATGGAAATCACAAATAATGCATGTTATTGGTAAAACAAAAAGAAACCTAGCAGTTTCTGCCAAAGTATCCCAGTGTGTTGACAATCAGCTCTACTAGCAATGTTTCAATCATTACTACTTAGCCATATTCGATATTGTTGTTCAGTCTGGCTTCATGGTAATAAAACACTTGTCTCAAAACTGCAGAGTATTTGTAATAATTTTTTAAGAATAGTTTTTGGTAAAAGAAAACGTGAAAGTGTAGACTCTTACTTCAAATCACTAAATATACTTAAGGTTGAAGATATGATGAAATTTGAAATATTATCTCTAGCTCACGACTTCCATAATAATGCGCTGCCCAATTGCTTTAATGACATACTTGTCAAAAATACCTCCAACCGAAGAAGTAGTTCTGATTTATTCGTACCTTTCATGAGTAAATCCGTGAGTCAGCATTCCTTGTCTTTTACTGGACCCAAACTTTGGAATTCTCTTCCCTTAAATTTGAAGACGTTAAAGTCCAAAAAATCTTTTCAAAAACAAGTCAAGTCTCATTTAGTTTCCAAATATTAAATATTAAAATTACTACTGGTGGTATTCGATGACAAAAACTTGGGACACTCCACACTTGCACATTATTGTTTTAATGAAAATGTTGAACAGCTATAATAATATTGTGCCACGACTATAATAATATCTTGCCACGACTTGGCCAGAACTAGTCCAGCACCAAAGAAATGGTATTGTGACATGCATGAGTATATATATATTTTTTTAAATATATAGGTAGCTAACGTACTCGGATGATATTTTCTTTAAATAACTGCACACATTCTATCACTTCACGCTCGTGTTTTTATCTTTTTCTAGCTGTGATGTCCTATCATACACGCTTGGTCTTATGTTTGAGTGGTGGTATAAGGGTTGTAGATAGTACAATATTGTTCCTGCAAGGTTACTAATTATTGCAACTAGGCGAGCAGTAGAGCTATGTTGGATTCTCCCCTTCAGATTTTAATTTGCTGTGGGTCATTGTAATTGGATGTGGTTTTTATATCATTTATGTATGCATGCGTTTTATGTTAAGGCATGGTGTTTGAGTTGACTTGTTGGCCAAGGTATAGATAGTAAAATTTTGTGTGTTTTTTGCATGGTGTGATAAATTTTTCTCTGTCCCAAGCAGAATGTCATCATAGATCATCTATCCATCGCTATATAATGACAATACATCCCATTTAATTAAACAATTATTTTTTGCCTGTAATAAATAGTTCAGAGCGTTCCCCTTCACCCAATCATTGAAACATCTACTCGCAGTTTTATTTTTTGTTTTTCAGGTTACTTCAAAGTGATTAAATGAAGTAAAACACATAAGGAAAAAAACAAAAAAGACTCCGATATCCTGTGAAATAACAACCTCATTCCTATCCTTGTCTGAAACCAATACCCAAGAATGAAAAACCTCACTTACACCCTTTGTAACCAATTTATTTCCACATCCTACTTTACTTAATTATAGTAATTTTACTGTTACCGGTAACTTAATTACTTATTACAATCTGGACTATAATTTGGCAATAATAGGCTCTAATTTGGGGAATGAAATGGTCTCGCCCACCTCTTCATGCACCCAATTCTGGCAACTTTGGTTGGGCAACTTGGCATTTGACTCCAACTATAATCAGCTTGGCAATATGTTTTCAATAGAATCTTCCTTTTATATACCTAATTAACGATTAGAAGATCGATCAATTTGGCAATGGCAACCATTACAAAAATATCAATATGGTGTGGCAGATAATTTTCTTTTCTAGTATTTATTTATTTATTTTTTTGTTTACTGTATAGTATACCCTAAATTTATCGCGTTTCATTCTTACTTAAATAACTTCTCAGTGGTTGTGTGTGTGTGTGGCTGGTGGGTGCATGTGAGCGTGTGTGAAATAACTTGATAATTTTAGGTGAGTAAACACGTACCACTTCCTCTTGGCAAAACCTTTCATCTTATATTTTGTACGTTATAAACCTTATCTAAGGTTTTGTTTGCTCCCCTGATTTCATAATCAGATTTTATTTATTTGTTTTTATCTGTCAAATGTATTGTTATGCTGATTATGGAGTCGAAATAAACTTATACTTATACTTATACTTTTAAGTTTAGCCCAAGCCTCATTTAATTGGGCTTGTGTTTTTGTGTGCGTGCTGGTGGGCAGGCACATGAGATACTTCATGTTTTAAACTTTTTTGTAGGTTTTGCTTGCCCTCCAGAATTCTCCATTTTAAATTTAGGTTTGTTATGGAGTTTTCGAAATAAACTATCTATCTATCTATCTGATTTGAAAATTTGATCAGAGTGACTTATTGCCTCAATCTACTTTTACTGTTTTTTTTTCAAATAATTTGATCGTTTTTCACGTTGCATCTTATCCTATTTATTGCGAACATCATATAGATCAGACATGGACAAACTACGGCCCGCGGGCCCAATGAGTCATTCAATCCGGCCCGCCTGACGGTGTGACAACCAAACTAAGTCTAAATTTTGCTGTTTTAGCAAAAAAAACAGCTCAAGGAATTTGTTGGGATAGGATCTACATATTTATCCCGGGGGAGAGGAAAGCCGATAAGACGGCTTTTCCATGTGGCGAATCATGACCTCTCGTCCGGTTACCATTCCAAATCGGGTATGGGATTAGTTGTATTGTTTGTTTTCGGAGGCATGGACTTGGTGGTGGAGGAAGCCGTAACCGACCAGCCGTTACGTGAACCACCCAACGACGGCGAGGAGTCCAGCAATCCTCTCGCACATAACCATACCTGCATGGGATTCGAACCTGCGAACCCATGCAGAGTAATTAGAGGTGCGGTGGCGAGCGTATTCCTAACGCTTAGCCCGTTGAGCCACACCGATGCGCCCTGATTGCGATAAAATTTAGTTTTGGCTCGAAGCGAGTCGTTTTATACTTTTGCTTTTGTGACACTGTAAATAGGATAGGATTAACATATTTATCCCGGGAAGAAGAAAGCCGATAAGACGACTTAATCATAACGACTGACATATGGGTTCCCACATCTACTTTGGATCGATGAACAAATTTTAGTCATTTGATGTCCGTCCGATAACCGCAGTACACCTTGTGATCAAACCATCTTATGCCCCGTCATCTTTCCAAGAATAAATAAAAATTCACTTCATACAGAAAGAATATATAATTAAAGATTCGTGAATATATTTACAAACATCAATTATAAAGCAGCAATTACAGTGAGATATATTACAGTAAACACTAGGGTTCGCCAACCTTACAAAATTTTAGTTTATTAATACCACAGTCGGAACTGTATTATGAGATTTAGGATAAGATAAGGATATAGGATTAACTTATGTATCCAGGGGGAGAGGAAAGCCGATAGGACGGCTTAATCATATGGTAAACCACGGCCTCTCGCCCGGTTATCAGTCCATGTCAGGTATGGAATTAGTTAGTGTTTTCAAGGTGTATTGACTGATATTTGATGGATAGTGGACATTGCTCCTATTACAAAACAATCACAGACGATTACACGGCCAATAACAAATAAAGTAAAAAGTATAAATTGTGCTAATTACTAAATCTACATATCATTAAATATTTTGATTACACATTTTGGTGAGTTTACTAAGACACACTGGTGGTTATACCGAATACAAAAAAATTTGAAATTCAAAAAAAAAAATCTATTATTTTGGGACTTTCATATGCAACTGAGCAGCTGCCTGAAAAAGTATACTGGTAATAAATATGTGTAAAAACACTGGTATGCGTTGAGGCGAGCCTTAAGATTTCTTTTATGTAGATACTAGGGATGTCGTCCAGGCCTCCAGCCCAGGAATTTTCGAAGGGAGGGGTTCTGAACTTTCGAATAGCCAAATAGGCCCCAACAGCTGGCGGGTCTCGACATAGGGGCCAGAAAACAGGTTTTCCAGAGTCATGAGGGTCTAAAAAACTTCCAGGCTACGAAAAATTGCTGTGTGATATAGGAGGATCTTTTTTTTTACATTTCAAAGCGGGGGTTGCGCCCATCAACCCACATGGCTACACCCCTGGTCCATCCCAAAATGTTTGATATGTTACGATTTAGCCTTGTCAAATATTCCAAGTTGTTTTATGAAGCATCATATCATGGTATGCACAAAATTTTAACCAAGAATATGTAATTGGCATAAACCATCTGAACTGAATAATCCAGAATATTTACTCAATAAGTCGTTCAACAGAAAATTCATTGTGTTCTTACAACTTAGGCAAAAATAATGGAACCGAAAAAAATGGTGACCGTACATTTGAACCCACGTACATTTGAACCCATGTCTATATCCGCGGGTTCAATCAATATGCGGGTGCTGAAACCCATGGGTTTGGGTTAGTATGGGTTCAACTATCCGTACAACAAAAAAATTTCCATAGGTGCAATAGTATGCAGGTGCAATTGTCATGGGTTCAAATGTACGTCGGTTCAAATGTAATGGAACCGAAAAAAATAATAAAAAATATAAGAATAATTGCGTTCCTAGAGATGTCCGTTTTTAACAACTAAAAATTTCAAAGCAATTGGTTCTGTAGTTAAAAAAATATTTTGGAGAACTTGGGTAGGTAGAATAGGTTTAGATACAGGTAGTCAAGCGGAATATGTAAAAGTGACAAAAGCAACGCTCTTTTCCCAACTACTGAGTATTCTGCAATTAATCCAGTAGTTAACAATAAAAAAATTGGCGCTCCCGAAAGAATGTGCACCAAGATGGAGCAACAAACCCGAGCTCCAACCTGGTACACATACTATTTTTAGGTTGTGCACCATCTTGGTGCACATACTTCTGGAGTTCCAAAAAATTTTTGTCGGCATTCATTTAACAATAAACGATAAATACTCGTGTCCAATAACTTTACAGAAATATAGGATTTATAGCTTTCTAGTACAGCACTAAAGAACACTGTCAACTTGATCACTGAAAATATGAAATTGTTAGGTCGAATAGTTTAGGAAAGAAAAAAGTGATTTTTTGTTCCAATTCCAACATTCAGCAAAAATCGATTTTTATGTTTTATGTCCATAAAAGCAGTTATCAAAACATTTTTTCGGAAAATGGCAAAAATCAACAACTGGTCCATCAGAAACCATTAGTGTACGGTACGTCCTTTCCATTCGTAGTTCCATTGGTCGAACTCAGCAGCATACTGGTTTTCCGTAGTTGGTCGTAACTCCATTTCAATTGCTCTACTTCACTCTGATGTCGGCTTCGGGTCTCGTCCAGTTCGCCGAGAAGTCGGTCATTGGTTGAGATCAGAGACCTGGCAGTAAAAGAGAGATTTTTTTTCATATGATGCTATATTTACAGAAGGAGATGTAGTAAATGTGTAATCTGTTTTGAGAGTGAGTGAACATTTCAATTTGGATAACTATTCTGGCATAGCCAGTGATAGAATTCAAAATTTTCAAAAATGGTCTCATTTGTATCCAACTCACAACACTAACAGGCTCCTGAACATTTCAATTTGGATAACTATTCTGGCATAGCCAGTGATAGAATTCAAAATTTTCAAAAATGGTCTCATTTGTATCCAACTCACAACACTAACAGGCTCCATCATTTCAGAAAACCGTACCAAGCTTATAGATCTAAAACAAGATCGCTCTGCTGATTATCATGACATCCCGAAAACAAGTTTGTATGAATTCCCTAAATCCCACCACTGATTATACCTATGCCTACATTAATATACTGCCCCAATGCTAATTAAACATCCAATTTGTTTCAAGTGTATGTCACTATTTTTTCAATATCAAAATCATGATTCTCCCAGTAGTTATTATTTCAATATAGCAAGCACACAAAATGCGCCACGGAAGTTTAACTTGGTTTGGGGACATTAAAACTTAACAAAGAACTTACAGGGCTTAAAATAAACACCCATTGATACATAAGGGGATGAGTGCAATCACACTAAAATTACTTATGAAAATAAAAATATGAAAAAAAACATAATTATTACGAATATTTGGAGCCAATATTCCCTTGAAAAGCCATGATTAAAGTGGCTTACCTTTTTACTGACTCCACAACCCCAAAACAGACATGGATTTTTTAATTATGCCTTCCCCCCCAGCCCCAATAAATACTCACTTGTGGCTCTCTTGTAACATTTTCGTCAGATCGTCCAAAGATTCGTAATTCTTGAGCTGAAATTTAAGATTCGCCACTTGCTGTACCAAAGATCTTTTTTGTCTCTCTAGTTCCATCATATGGTCATTGTCATGGTGATCCTGAATATACAAAATAATTGGAAATTGGATTTTCATTCTAAGAGTGAAGAAAATGTATACATTGTGGGTTATACATCTCTGATTCAAACCTCCATCTCACCCATGATGCCAAATGTGACCCACAAGGCAAAATTGTGAGGTACACTGAGAAGTGCCAATTTTGAATCTAGTACGGCCTGCAAAACGCGTTCTCAATTTTTTCGAACTGGTGCAAAGCGAACAATGCTTGTCATAAGCTCAATAACTAAACTTTTTGTGCCCGCAACTACCAGAAAAGCCTGTGATAAATACAGGTGAAGCCCGCAGTTTCAACCAGTTATTTATATCTGGCCCGTCTATAGTAAAGGTTGCACACCTCCGGTGTAGATAAACAAATTGTGAATTGTACCTAGTTAAAGCTTTTCGAAATTGGCAATAGAAAATCCCATGTCCCCCAGAAGGCCAAGACCCCTGTTTGAGAAACACTGATCGGAGAGACATTTGATTTGAATCTGCGACGCCAACACAGTTACGTCTACTAGCACAACAACTGTTTGGGCCCGACATTCGCATTAATTTTCCTCTCTGAAAAAATATTATTATCATTCATACCTTTTCATCATCCCTTGATTTTCAGTTTTTCTTCCAAATCTGAGATTTTTCCTCGGAGAATTTTATTGTCACTCATGGAAAGTTGCAGACGAGATCGTAACGCGTCCTGGGATAGAAAATGCCACCTAGTAGGTTTAAATATATACTGAAACTGCCACGAGTATTGGGTAGTCCCTGAACCCAAAGTCAAAGGTCATGTTGAGCCACCAAGTGGTCATAATGTAAACTGCATCTTCATTGTATTTCTGGCAACTAGCATTTTCGCAGATGGCTGAGCATGGCCTGCGATGTCATCAGTCACAGATGGCTGACCATGACCTAACAACTGTGAAGGTGAAGTAGCCATGTGTAACCTGTGGTGTGATGTCTAAGCTAAAATATTCATGTTCTGTAGCATTCGTATCGTCACTATATAATATATTCAGCATTAGGAATATATGAATTAAATTGGTTAACAATTGAATTAGTTTTTGTGAAATTATTTCAAGTTTCTTTCTATTATTCAGGTCTGTTTGTTTGTTGAATACGATACTGAGTCGTTTTTATATAGATGGCTCAAGTCGCTGAGCCTTTGATAAATGGTATCTTCAAGTCTAACCGGCGTTCATTTTAATTTTAATTGGAGAAATGAAAGTAAAACTTCTTAGAGGCGAAAAGCCTAAGACACCCTGTATTCTCATCTGGTCACCCATGCAAGTGCTAATCGAGCCCGACATTGCTTAACTTCCGAGATCAAAGCGATCGGGTGCATTCAACGTGGTATGGTATTAAGCAACGAAAAAGTGTTTCCAGACACCGGTATGTAAATTTCATCAGTAAATTGTTAGGGAAATGGTTGCCAAAATCGAATAATTTGCAATTTCAAAACACTGTTAGGGGAACAGCTGCGTTAAACAAAATTTTACAAGCTTTAATACCTTGTATATACTCTGCAGAATTTTATGTACACAATCCCCACCTGTTCTTCTGGCTATCTTGCGCTCCACTGCTTTTTGTTTCGATGCCGAATGCAACTTAGTATGGAGATTCTATTTTCTGTTGTCAAGGTTGCGATTTTATCCTGCAGGGCTCGAAATTGAATGTCTTTTGTTGATGTCAGTCCTTCCTCATACCTTGCCAGAGGCTTCTCTATAAGTGCTGAAAGTGTAAAAAAGAGTTATTTATGTACTTGATATTGATTGACAGATAAATCTTTTGGCGAACCACGGCCTCTTGTCCAGTTACCGATTATGTTGACTATTGATTATTTGTCAACTAGTTTCTTGTTTCAGATGCTTTTTGTTTCAGATGCAGACTTGATGCCAGCCGAAGTCGTAACAGACCAGCGGCAGTGACAAGGAGCAGTCCAGCAATTGAGTCGATACAATTTAAGGGAATACACTTTAACCGTTAACCGGGTAGAAGTAACCGGTTAACCACGGCGTGACGTTTCACGTAATAATTTTTAATTTTACTCAGATAAATTGTAACTGTTAACCATCTAAAATAGGTTAACCATTCCCAGCCCTAGTCGACACACAAGATTGAAACAAGAGAAGCCATGTAGGGAAGTAAGGGATGTAATGGGAAATAGGAACAAATGGTAACCTGGTGAACGACTTTCCTTGTGACCACCAGAAAACCACTCCATGAGCCCCCAGGGGAGCTGAAGGCCAAGTTTTCGAAAAACTGTTTTCTCACAATAATACTTACATTTAAATTTCTTATGGTAGTGCAATGACCTAGATCCGTTCCAATACTTATCAACAAGATCTAAGAATTCTTCCAGGAATTTAGCTTGGACAGAACTCCTTGGTAAATGTGTTGATTCTGCTTGTTTGCTTGGGTTTGTTTCCTGAAAGATTTACAGGATTCAGTTTAAATTAATATGAATTATTTCCAATCTTTATGACAGAGGTTTCCGAAGGAGGCGCTGCGATTTGTTGAGTTCGCCTGAAAATATGGTCGAAATCCCCTCTTTAACTAAATTTAAAAAAAAAAAGCATTTTTCCATATCATACAGAGCAATATTTTGTAGCTTGAAACACTTTGATGACCCACATTTTCAAACCCGCTAGCTGTTACGGTCCAACTTGGCAATTAGAAATTTCAGAACTATCCATTTGAAAATCCCTGGCTAGGACGGAACGGCAGTAGAAATGTGGTTCGATCTCAAGATCTTTCGTTTTCACAAAATAGAATGAAACAAAAACAAACTCACCCCGAAACTTAGTCTTTTTACTGTTGGTAAACTTGTGTATTCATCCCCCAGACTGTCTGGTGTTGCACTTGATATCCGATCGCTACTCCCCCGACTTCAGACTAGATTCTGAAACTCTTGGACCAACAGTAGGGGGTGGGGCATCTGTGCCTAAAAATAAAAGCCAGTTTTTAAGTGGAGTTCTAGTACTAAGTGCAGACCAGTTTGCATTGACGACAAGGATCTAAATTGAATGCAGGGCTGGGCATTTTCGAATACCTGATGATTTCAGAATCGAATCGAATATTTTTTTTTCAAATCGAATCTCGAATACTTGGGAGATTTAAAATTGTATGTAACTTTCTTCTTGTATTTGGTCCTCCAGACACATAAATTACTGAAAACATAGAATACATCACTCAGGCAGATTGCTGAGCGTTCACACACAACAAAAAACACGTTTTATCAATGACTCACTACATAAAAGAGTCATATGTCAGAATTGCGTTGAAAAAATATGGCTTCAATGAGGTAAAATAAGAAATTTACCACGACCATTGGCGGAAAAAAAACAAAAACATGGCGGCAATTCGAAATTTTGCTCTGAGCCGATACGAATAATTTACTATTCGATTCGAAATGCCCAGTCCTAATTGAGTGTTATTTTGAATCAGTCGTTTTTACCGGGTGCTGAGTGAAGCTAGGACTTTCTTAAACAAGTAAGAAAACATGTAAAAGTTAAAATATATTTATCAAACTTAGAAATCTTCTGAAGAGTAAACATTGCCTTATTTGGTGAAAATATTTAATACTACCGTACATACTCGCAGATAGGGTTGCAGTTTTTTCTTTATATTTTTAAAAAATATATGAAAAATATAAGTGCAACCAATACGCTTAACATAAGTGCAAATCGCCACCAAGTCGGAACAAAATTGAAAGTTTTCGGCCATTGCAAGTGAGCCGATTTTGGCTATTCATGAAAATTGTATGGTATGCGCTTGCGTACATGCACTTATTATTGCTCACAGGTGTCGACAGGGATGGCCAATACCGAATAGTTCACTATTTCGAATACATTCGAAATTATTATTTTCGAATATGAAATTTCGAATACTTCGAAATTAAAATCCAGTAATAGAATCTAAGTGTTTGAAGGAATTTTCATACAATAAACAATGGGAAAACTTCTATTCACAACCTGGCTATATTACCAGGCATTTCATGTTTGCATATTATTGCGATATATATTTTATATAACATGAGTTGTGTTAATTAACAGAATTAAAATAATACGACAAGGCATTTTAAATAGTGGTATCGGAGATGGATTTGAATGCTTGCGCAACACAAAATCATCCTAGTAAAACGCCCATACTTTTATATACCAACCATTATCCAAATTATTTGTCAAAAAGCGGGATAAAGTATGAGTTCTTTTTCAGACTTGTGACAATTTTTTCGTGCGTACAAAAATACGAATCAAAAAGTAATTATATTCGGGAACTTTACCACACATTTTAAGTCCGCAGATCGCCGTTTTATGTTTGTGTAACAATACTTTTATTATTTTATAAATACGAAAACTATTTATAATCGGGTAGTTTACCACACATTCAATGTCCACAGATCACGGTTGTATTTTGTAAATACGAAAATAGGAATCAAAAATTAATATCAATCGCGAGTTTGCCTCACAATTTATGTCCACAGAATGCCGTGATATTGTGCCCGAATATAATTAATTTTTGATTCTTATTTTCGTACTCACGAAAAAATTGTCACAAGTCGGAAAAATAATTTATACTTTATTACACATTCAAGTCCACAAATCGCCGTTGTATTTTTGAGTTATAATAGTTGAGTTATAAATTAACTTGTTTCCAAACTTGTGACAATTTATTGGATATCGTAACAATTACGGCTATGAATACCGTATTTCCCGCCTAATAAGTCTACATGGCAAATAGGACGGTGTATATTTTTAGCACTCAAAAAAACGGGGTTTTCCATATAGGCCTCCAAGAAGACGGGAAGAAAAATTGTTCCCTGTTGTTCAGTTATGCTAATATGCGCTAATAATAATGTGATAAGTTCCACACGGTACGTCCACGGGTTATTTCACAGCTGTGTTTCATGTCCCTGTCATTTTCTGCTGAATCGGCAAAACCAAAGGGTCATAAATCACTTACTTTATCTGGGTGGCGGTGGCCGTGTTTTCTCTTTTAAGTAACGATAACCGGCCTACGATTAAATATCATGATTGGCAGACCCAGAACCAAATATAAGGTCAACACAAATTATGCTTGAGAAGACTAATGCGAAAAATAAGCAGGCCACATAGAAATAAAATAAACATGCTTTCTCAATAAGGCGCCCCACCCCCCAAAAATCAAGCCAAAATTGGGTCTAGAAAAGCAAAAGCGACTTACTAGCCGGGAAATACGGTGATTGTCGATTTTTCGACTAATGGAAGTGATTTTGTGAATTAAAAGACGAATGTCGGCAATGTTCACCAACGCAAACGTGCAAATGTGTCGCAACACTATGGGACGTACATTCGCGCTGAATATAAACAATCAAAATGCCGACTCTATTTCATCGTCATTACAATACGCGAGAAAGCGTAAAAAGTCGTTTGAAGATTCCGGTAAAACGAAACACGGTGTTTACGGCGAAAAGTGACTACTATTCGTAATTATTCGGAAATGAGCCGAAAAGGTATTCGAATACTTTGATATTCGAATAATTTCGAATATTCGATTCGTTTTGGACAACCCTGGGTGTCGATAAACATATTTTGTACAAAATAGGAAGTCATCTATGCAAAAAAGCTAAGAAAAGGGCCTTTTAAGTCCCTAGATTTTCAGTGCGACTTGTGTGCGAGTCAACTCTAAATTAAACTTTTTTAACACAAAACTAATAGTGTGGCCTATACGGTGGGGCGACCTAACGGAGAGTTTATACGGTAGGTTATAAATTAAGCAAAAATGAAACAAAAATGTCACTCATTTTACCTGGATGTCTAGTGAAGTTTGCAACACTCCTAAACTTGGTGTATGCTTCATCATCTGGTGTATATCTGTATTCATCCATGCGTATCGGAGCAGATTTCTTACTGGAAAGCGATGAACTGGAACCAGACAGCAGCCTAGGTTTGCTGGAATGAAAAAATAGAATCGAATATTTATTACTTATCGATCTCGATCGGTAAGTATGTTGATAGGCATTTGTTTGTTTGTCTGTTTGACACTTGTGTATGTTACACGATATCTCACGAAAGCGAGGTTAAATATGCTCCAAATTTTACATGTGCATTCATCATATCTCGGACCAGAAACCTATTGATTTTGGATGAAATATGTCGTATAATTACAGAGTTATTAATTAATTAGTAATGGGACACGTGGTGTTTCTGTTTTGGGGGATCCCCAACTTTTGTCGCTGCAAGCAAGTGTGTGCGCCAAATTTGTCGAGTAAAATCTTGAACATGCGGAAGATCAATTAGTGGCCGATCGCTATTTAGTTCTAGTTGCTGTGATGAATTAAACAGAGGCAAAGATAAACGAATAAAACAGTTTGCATTCTACTCACTAGTTCATCTCTCCTCTTCTTTCTATCCCGTTCATATCATTTTCACTCAGGAAACCGTTCATTTCTAAAAAAATTATTCAAAAAATGGTTTATTTGGAGATTAAAAACGCGGAAATATTAATATATATAGAAGTCTAAAAAATAAAGTTAGGGAGACAGAGTCGTGATTTTGAACGATGCCAACACAGTTAAGTCCAACGCTTTGAACATAGCGCTGACATCGAATTAATGAACTTAGATCTTACCTTCATGTGATTTGATCCGTTGTCTCCTACTCCTGAGATCGTCTTTTTCTGTTAATTTTACAAGTCCTGAAAGTAAAAGTATGCTTTATGAAATTTAAATGAAATCTTAGAGCATCTAACAGACCATATTTCATTCTGTCTGTCAGAATTCAAAATATTGAATTTAACTATTTATGAATGTATTCTGATTTTTTTTTAACATTTCCGATCCAAACTTTACACCCTATTCAACAATTAAAATGGTACTCCCGTAGTATGTGTACCAGGTTAGGGTTAGACATAATTTTACTCCGATTTTACTTATTTTAGTTCTATTACGAGTTCGCCGACTGTCTGTGTTAGCCAAGTGAATATACCCCCTGCCCATAGATTTCAGTCCCTTTACAGAACTTGATGTAAAGTAGGCAAACAAAATTAGTTACCTCCATATTGGTACACACACTTCTGGAGCGCCATTAAAATATCCTGAATAATATCCTAAAATCCAATATGTACAGCATTGAAATCAAACCAATTTCTGACTGCGATAAATATTCGAATTACTTCGGACATTTCCAACCCTAGCACTATCCCACTGCATTTTTGACACAAACCCAACCTTTCTCAACAATAATTAAACAAAAACTCAAAACACTCAGCAAACTCTATTTAATACTATCTTTTGAATCCCGAATGCCATAAACTCAATTTTTCAAACAAAAACACAAAACATCTAACAGTCCCATTTTTTTATTCAATTTCCGCTAAATCCAATAAATAACAATCAAGAAGCTAAAATGTCGAATGTAACCAATTACAGATCACCCGAATTGAATATTCGATTCATTTTGGGCTCCAAGCCCTGATACTAACCCAATATACAACCATTACTAGCTCAACACTTCTTAACGACAACTCAAAACACTCAGCGGACTCTATTTGACACTATCTTTTCAATCCCAAACCCCATATAAACTCAATTTTATGTCCCCCACCCCCCTCAAACCCACTTATAATACTGACTGATTCATTTTGAGCATCCCTTATTTTTATAGTGACCTCCTCTACCAATTACTGTCACTAAACCAAACAAAATTTAAACGAAAACTCAAAACATCTAACGGACCCCATGTTTCCTATTCAATGTCTGTGTTATTACAGTAACTAAACCCTTTTTCATTGTATAGGTTACAATAGAGCATATAGATTTTGCATGGGCCAAATATAATATGAGGATAACTGATGTAACAATTGCTTGGGCCAAGTAAGATCGTAGATATAGGGCATGTGAGTTAAAAATGTGGCTCTTTACAATTTTTGGATGTCCAAATGTCCAAATCAATTTTATTATTATTAAAACTTTCAAATATAAATTACCATTTGTTTAGGATTTGAAATAAATTTTCTGTATCTCATGGAATATACTGTATATTCTTGCATAAGAATACAAAAAAGTTACCAAAGTAAGGGGGCTCTTCCCTCTAACACCAGGACAAATTTCAAACAATCAAAATAAAAAAAGGCGCTCCAGAAGTATGTGGTATATGGAGGTAAGTATGTGGTATATGGAGATAACTAATTTTGTTCGCCTACTTTACATCAAGTTGTGTAAAGGGACTGAATCCTATGTGCAGCGGGTATATTCACTTGGCTAACACAGATAGTCCTCGAACTCGTAACAAAACTAAAATAAGGAAAATCAGAATAAAACCTGGTACACATACTATGGGAGTACCAAAAAATATTGAATTAACTTTTACCTTCATGGGTATGATCTTCTGTCTCTGGTTCTGATAATACACCACCGGTTGGCGCTCTTTCATTTCTTATATCCCCCCCATTCCTGTTCATTAGATCAATCACATCAAGGCAAGTGTCATCCTCAGTCACAACTGCAAAATGAATGACCAAGGTGGTTAGAGCAATGTTTCTCGCTCAAGGGGTCCGCCCTCAGTCTCTCCTCAAGTGAGTTTGAAATTTGATTTGTGAAAAAGACCTGGAGTTCTAATTGGGCCTCCAGTTGTCCAAATAAAATGCATGGCTGACATTGAATGAAAGTTTGAGAATTCAGTGAGTAAAAAACATAAGAAATGAATCTGAAACTCGCTCCTCACACCTGGATGCGTGCTTGTACACATCCCCATTAGGAGTCAACCATGTGTAAAAAGAATCGGCTACTCTGAAGTCACTAACTGCAGATTCTTGAATATTAGTAGCTGTCAGAACGGAGTAGATAGAAATATGTAAAAAGCACCGTATAAAAAAGGCGCTACAGGAGTATGTGTATCAAGTTGTGCAAAGATACATAGCGTATGGGCAGAGGGAATATTCACTTGGCTAGCACAAACAGTCCCGAACTCGTAACAGAACTAAAATGATGAAAATCAAAATAAAATTATGGCCTAACCTGGTACACATACTACGGGAGTACCAAAAAATCCCAACTTGTCTTGCAGGAACATCAATGCAAGTTCGCACATATCTTTATTCAGACTAAAATGTCTATTGAAAAAAAAAACGTTATTTACAAGTTGGTTTCTTGATCATATTCTTTACGTATTCTGCTCTGGGCTGCGTTGAAATCCGTGGTTCAGCGCTGGGTTTTGTTTCAAGGTTTTCCGCTGCTGAGTCCTTGTCTTCCATTTCTGCTGCCTACAGTGGATATAAATGATAAATTAATTCAAAACCCCCAAGAATATATGGTACTCCTGGAGTATGCGCACCAAGATGTCGCCTAACCTGAACCCTAACTTGGTACACAACCTGAATTCAGGTTGTGCGCCATCTTAGTGCGCATACTTCAGGATGGTCCAGAATATGATATACAGGGTTTCCAAACAATTTTACCTGATTTCATAGTAATAACAATTAAAAATGTCTTTGTCTTAGTTTATTAATAGTTTGTATTGTGCTTGTAATTCCCACTTATCATACAATAAAATTTATTTAAACTTACGACTGTTAGTACTATAAAATGGGGCGAAATATTTTGGACAAATTTAATTATTTTAAACTTGAATAAACTGTTAATAGTACTCTGTTAATATAATGCAAATGTTTTTTGAAAGAATTCCTCATAACAAGGTCACAAGCACAGATTCAGAAGTAAAAAATATTCATCTCTGAGCAAAGTTATGGACACCACTGAGGTGTGACATTTTATCAATTAAATTCGATGAAGATGATAGGTGCTCATAGACGGTATTGCTTTGAGTCAATATTGAAATCCCTTTCATCATTACCTGTTCATTTGAGAAATGCATCAAAGCTGCCTTCCTTTCACTTTCTCGCACTGGTCGGTCATCTGCAGAACAAAAGTTTACAAAATAGCCTCGATTATCTGAAGGGCATTCTATTCGATTGGACTATGGACAAGATTTCGTAGTATACTGTATTATGGCCCCAATTGTTTCATGCATGAGTGACCTTGGTTTTCTGTCTCGCACTTTTTCTGTTAATGCATAGGTCGATTACTGTGCGTTTTCAGTTATACATTTTGAATATCTACAAACAGTTTGCGCTCGACTGCATCCATAGTTAAAAACTCTAACGTAAATAATAAAGCCAAAATTTCCTACAGAAAATCAAACAGCGTCAAAAATCGTTATATTTCACTATTTTACGTCGAAATTCTTACCCAGAGTCCTTAGTAATGGCAACATATGAACAACAAATAATCTGTAATCTGGCTCCGTCTTTGTGACAGGATTCAAACGCAGATCTACGTTTTTAAGACTTTGATTTTTACGGAGTTTAAAAACTTCTTTAAGATCTGGTATTTGGTTGTAGTAAAGGTTTAATGTCTCGAGATATTTGAGATGTGAGAGACCCTGAAAAGGGGAGATTTTCGTTAAGTTATGATGAATATTATCAGCCTCGTAAGAAAAATTGACTGAAGATAGGCATTTTCCAGTTAAAAGAGATCCTGACATGAAAAAGTTATGGCATTGATTGGAACCAAAAATTCCACTCATGACTGATTTAAGATAGGATTTACATGTTTATCCTGAGGGAGACGATAGTCGATAATATGGCTTAATCATCTGGCAGACCACGACCTCTCATCCTGTAACAAGTCCATGTCGGGTATGGGATTAGTTAGTTATTTATTTTCGAAGCATGGTATTAAATTATGCTGAATATTTAAGCTCGGTGAGAAATTGAATGAAAATAGCCAAGATAGGCATTTCGAGATTAGAGACCCTGATAAGAAAAAGTCATTAATTATGTCAAAAAATTCGACTGCGACTGATTCAGTGTTGTTCAGAACAAGGCTTAGAAGAACTTGAAGAGCAATTACAAAGAGAGAGGAATTATTGTTTTAGAGAAGCGAATTTCCACTTTACATTTGCTTATAGTGTTACTATTTTTCTTTACTTTAATACCAAATATAAAATAAACAATAAAACTCACTAGAAAAGAAAATAAGTAACTTTCATAGGTTTTTGTTAGAAAACAAGATACCAGAGAATTCGCAGGCAACCCATAGGTGGGAAACATTGTTCTAAATCAGAGGTGTGCAACATTTCTTGTCTGTGGGCCATATAACCAGCTTCAAACATATAGATGGGCAACAAAAAATATTTAGCGGGAAGTATAAGAAAAGAGAATGAGGCTATCGCTTACCTTACAGTAACAAATGCACCAAAGAAAGATTGGTAAAGAAAGATTTAACGCAGCGAAAAAATTAGAAAAAGCATGTAATATCTATCCAAGTGACCGCCTTTTCAAACATAAAATGTCGGGTCTGCATTTTATACTTAGTGGGGAAAAATCTGACTGTGTACAAGTGCCACACTAAATGGCTAGGCGGGCCGGATTGTGGCCTGTGGGACGCCCGTTGCACACCCCTGTTCTAAATCATACCTGAATTTCAAAATTTTCTGTACTGAATGGCGCGGCGGTGTGGCTCAACGGGCTAAGCGTTAGGAATACGCTCGCCATCGCACCTCTAATTACTCTGCGTGGGTTCGCAGGTTCGAATCCCATGCAGGGATGGTTATGTGCGAGAGGATTGCTGGACTCCTCGCCGTCGTTGGGTGGTTCACGTAACCGCTGGTCGGTTACGGCTTCCTCCACCACCAAGTCCATGCTTCCGGAAACAAACAATATAACTAATCCCATACCCGACTTGGAATGGTAAACGGACGAGAGGCCGTGGTTCGCCATATGGATAAGCCGTCTTATCGGCTTTCCTCTCCCCCGGGATAAATATGTAAATCCTATCCTATCCTGAATATGATGAATTTTGAAAAGGTCAAGCAAGAGTGTGAGGAAAATCTTACATCTAGTGAACTGATAGCATTCCTTGATACATCAAGTTGTTGCAATCTCGAGAAGTTACTCAGGGAAGTCGACAAACTTGCGATTTTTTCATGATATGAACCAGGAAGGGCGAGAGATCTTACATCCTCTGAAAAATTAACATTTTTGATACATGAGAGAAGTTTAACTGATGATTATATTAATAATAAAATAAAACAAGATTTTCCAAAAGATACTGAATTCATAAAACACCTCTATAAGTTAACAAACCAAGGCCTCTTGTCCAGTGAATTATTTGAGATATGGCAGCCATATGGTTAATGCCATGGGCAAAAGAGACCGAAAAGTATTCAAGTAGACTAAAGTAAAGGGTTTTAAAACTATAATTCCAAATTGGGAATAATTTAGACTCGTATTTTTAGCAAATAATATTGTACAAGTATCTCTATTCAACAACAGTCATTAAAAAGTGCCAGTCAACATTCAAGGGGGAGCATTTTTAAATCTTGTCATGGGCGCCATTTTACGTAGATAAGACATTGGTTTTGTCATTTAACCAGTTCTGCAGTTTCTGAGATTGCATGTTTAACTATTCCAGTAATCCCAAACCAGACAAGAGGACGTCGTGCAAGTGTCTTAAAAAATAGGCCGTCTTGTAGGCTTTCCTCTACCCGAATAAACACGAAAGTCCCATTTTAACATACATATTAAAGCTACAAATTTAGCAATTCCTGAATTCTAAGATTTCAAAATTGCACCGCACTGCGGCGGTTAAGGCCTGATATTCTATATCCCCATCAATATTAACTCACCTAGCTTATCATGGTCCATTTTTATTCGTTCTTTTACCCATTCTTCGGTGATTTTAAGCGACATTTTGGAATTGACGGAATTCACTTCCATGCAAACGAAACTCAACGACCGGTCAGCAATGTTTACAATTTTTGATTTGTCCGCCGACGGTTACGATCTGAGACACAAGAGGGCGGCAAATCTATTTTGGGGTTATTTTAAAACACGGACATTTTTTCAGAGTTTAGTGAGATTTTTTATTCATGGGGAAAGAAAGAATAACCGATAAGACGACTTTTCTGAGGGAAAATTATTTATTTTATTCAATAGATGTTTTCCTGATCTATTTTTATTGTTAAAATCTATTTATTCCTTGCCATTGCGAAATATTTTATACTTAAGGTGTTTTTTGCCTAATCCTTCTCCAACTGAGGTTTCGTCGACTGTTAATTCTAGAAAAAACATTGTTTATTTTATCTAAATAAAATTGTCGATGCTCATCTGAAGTAAGTTTATAAATCGGCCACACAAGGTCAGAACTATCCGATACGCGCTGTTTGATTGTTGACGTTTTGGTGAAATGATTTGAGCTACCAATTATGGTGGTTAATTACTATTTTTAAAACTGTTTTAAAACTGTTCATCGCATTTGGCTAATCATGCCAGGACGGTGCTGCCTTATGTTTTCAAATGTTTCTACGCTTTTGTATAACTCAATAACCAAAACATTACGAACTATACTTTATGGTTTGAAACAACTGAGCTGAAATGTAGTCAACCCAATCCTGCGTTCGCAACCATTTATCTCGTTAGCATTCCTCTGTCGTATAAAAGCATTAGTTTGCACACTCATAAGAACGACAGCTGGCAAGAACAGTCCAGTTTGGGGGACGTAAGGAGTTGAGTGAGCCAGTTAGGGTTAGAAAGGTTTAGGGCAGGGGTCGGCAACCTTTTGTCGCTCGCGGGCCAAAATTAAGATTGCAAGTCATTGGCGGGCCGCACATATTTTTAGAAAGTTGAAAAACCGAACGGATGATACTTTTATAATAAAAATCAAGCAGTGATACATCTCTCGAACATAATATTGATTTATTTCCTCATTGCATCTCATAAAATTTCATTTGAATATTTTCAGCGCCATTGAACCCTCTGCGTTTTGGTGCCATTTGCTTAATTATAATTAAATTATATGCTCATTAAACGAGTAATTGTGAATTATGTAATTGTTAGGTTATAATATAATTTAGTCTAAAGAGAATATTTGTCAAAACGGATGTTCTGTTACCATAATTTAGTGAAGCGTCGCGGGCCGGATTATAGTGCTCCGCGGGCCGGATCCGGCCCGCGGGCCGTAGGTTGCCGACCCCTGGTTTAGGGAGACGAATGTAGTCGAGTGCAGGGGATTGGTAAGAAAGGTTTAGGGGGATAAAAGGAGTCGAGTGAGTAAGTTGGTTAGAAAGGTTCATGGAATACAAAGGATTTGAGTGAGGAGGTTGGTTAGAAAGGTTTAGGGGGACGGAAGGAGTCGAGTAAGGGGATTGGTTAGAAAGGGGTAGGGACGCAGAATGATCCGATTGAGTGGGTCTGGATGAATTAGAGAAGCTCAGGAGACGGAAGGATTTGGGGAAGCGAGTCGTGGTAGGTTTAGATTTGTAGAGGAGGATGGAGCCAAAAAAGTGGGTCTGGATGGGTAAGGAAAGCTGAATTATAAAAGGAAAACATGTCTTCTCGGATATGGTTTGGCCGTTCAGAGAGTGATGAAGCTACTGAACCTAGCGAAAAAGAATAGAGAAGAATAGTAAAGAATTGGTAGGGGTTGAGTGAGCAGGTCTGGGTAGGTTAGAACAGCTAGAGAGATGGAATATTCGAGAGACGTTGACGTAATGTCATTAAGACGTCATAATGCATTTCAGGAATTCATACGTCAGGTCAATGAATTTTTTTACGCCGTTTGCAATATGACATCATATAATGATCTTATCAATTTTAAAATGCTCTGGGCGGCGCCGCTGTAGTTGGCTATAATTCTAGTTTTTCTAAATGACTACTCCGCGCAGGTACATTTGAGAAATGCTCTTTTGTTGAAGCCCAGGTATTGTGTGTATGCTGCTTTGTTATTCCAACAATACATATCACTCAGTGTTGACGCCTACAAAACGCCTTGCTAAATACAGTCACCATAATTTGAAGTGATCAAAGAAATAGCAGTATATATACAAATCCATGACCGAGGTAAAGTGCCTTGAAAGCGCGCAGAGCCCGGTTATACCGGTAGTCTGCAGCTAACGACCGTTTGTCAATTTTTTCTCTCCCTGTTCACATTGCGTCACTGTAGTGGTGATACCGACTGTGGGTGGCGAAACAAGGTGTTTTAATAGATCTATAGAGAGATTTGTTGTCACAAAAACAAAGTCACTATTATAGACATAATACAATAAAGAATATATTTCAGCAGTGATTGATTATTGTTTTGTGCGGGTGGGTGTGCAGGACCGATTAAGGTCATCTAGGCCAGAGCTACTCAACTGGCGTACCGCGGTCCAAATCCGGAATTTTCGGGTATTCGATTCGGGCCGCGTCTATTTTTTATTTTGAATTATTAGCCGCACTTTTGAAGTTTCCTTTTATAAAATCACTTTTATAGATTTAAATATATATGAAAATAACTAGAACACCGTAACAAACAATCTTGATTAGCTAATAATCATTAGTCGACCGAGGAAGTGCGTTTTCAAGGGTTTCGAAATATAATTTCTGGAAAGACCGAACCCAAATATTTTTGAAGTTTGGTACGTGGATCTTCGGTAAAAATAGTTGAGTAGCCCTGATCTAGGCTCTCGACCCTTGTGTATATGCTGTATATAAGCTCATCATCGCATAATATAGTACCATGGGTGAATGCAAATAGATTGTTTTGTAAAATTGTTAATGCCTGACACGGCCAACTCGCATAGCAAATTATACACGTGTTTAGAGAGTCAACAAATTTGAAATTTTCGCATAGAGCTGGAAAACTCGACGATGGGTTCCATGACTATACACACCATGCAGTGCTAGGCAAACTTTATGCGCCACTAAGTCAAAAATATACATTGACTGTAGCTTGCGGGCCACAGTAATTTTCACATATAAACAATTATCACATTAAACTTTGAATTATGACGTACGCACAACTACAAATTATTACAAAACAAACAAGGTACAGCCAGTTTGTTTATATGCAAAGTGAGGTCGTGCGAGAGCCACAGAAAAAATTGTTTACAGGCCGCACTCGCCCGCGGGCCGCGGATTGCCGACCAATGCTCTACACTTATGATAGTATAGGCTGAAAATATATTTTAATTTACTGTTTGTTGTGTAGTTTAGGACAAATTTTGGTACTCCCGAAGTTATGTGAACCAAGATGGCGGACACCGGAACGTAGTATGTGTACCAGGTTAGAGTTAGGACATAATTTCATTCCGATTTTCCCTATTTTATTTATATTATTTTATGAGTTTGAGGACTAGCGAAGTGACTCCCGTAGTATTTGTACCTGAAATTATGGTCTAACCATAGCCTGGTACACATACTACATTCCGGTGTCCGCCATCTTGGTTCACATACTTCGGAAGTACCAAAATATGTCCTAACCCACACAACAAACAGTAAATAATATACTTTCAGGCTTAATTGCACCAATCCGCAAATCTTAGTCAGAAAATATAACGATACAGTTTATTAGCAGCTGATTGTCTCCGACTCAACTTAATTAGCAAATGACGAACAATTTATATACTGAATAACCAATGCATCGAAATTGCCTTATCAAGTGTGGAAATAGCATATTTCCCGGAAAATAAGACAGTGTCTTATTTCAATTTTCTTTCGAAAAATATCACTATTACTTATTTTCGGAGAATATATTTCATGTCAATTTATCAAAAACAAAATTACAAAGTGGAGAATTGCAAGATTTTCAAATATACAAAATATGGAAACCGATATCCATTTACTTATAAATAACACGTTTTTATTTCAATAACTGCAAAACATAGATTAATAATCCTTCAAAACGAGTAGGAAAGATATTTTGCTATCGACTATATCTCATTTTAAGGGGATGGCTTATATTAAAATCACTTTTAAAATTTATGATAGGTCTTATTTTCGGGAAACACGGTAGGATAAAATTATATTAAAACTTCATAGTCATAATAAAATTACTGTTAGAGCTGTGTAACTCAATATTGTCCACAATAAAACAAGTTATGACGGTTTTTAATTTGAAAAATGTTTAAACCAACTAGTTTGACTTCGTTTCATATTATTAATCTTAAAAACATCAACTGTTTTGCTAACTTTTAGTAAGTTTTATCAAAATATCCTTAAAAGAGTATCTTCGCTTTTCACGTTTTGTCGAATTTTTTGTTAGTCACTGGTTTGAGTTTGTAAATGAACTCGCTGCAATACTTATATATTCGAGTACGAACTGCGTATGCATAAAAAGCTTAAATAATTGTTGTCGAAAATTAAAAAAGATTAGGCAGTAACTTAAGAAAGGACTTGCTTTAAAGCATTATCAAGAACTCTTGAATCATCAGGATATAATAAAAAATATGAAAATTCAGCAGTAGTCAATTGCTCGCGAGACGGATGCCACCGGGTCAGCAAGCTTTTGTTAATACTGCGGGCTGATTGTACCCGATACTAATCCCGGATTCCCAGAGAGTCTCCGACAGGCCAATTTATTTTTTTCACCATACATGAAATATACTTTGTGAATAAAGAATGTAAAAAGAAACAAAACTGGCATTTCAAGCTGAAGTAGATGGGAAACGGGAAATTTTACCCAACATTTTATTTTAGGGATGTTTTCAAAATTAGGGTGGAGGTAGATATTTTGTTATTAGTGATAACATTATTTGTAACTTATAAAAGGGTGTTAAGTACTGCGAAATTGTAGTTTTTGTTGACCTGGTTGTTGAAAGAATCTCACTTTTCCGTCAATAGTAAAATAATCCTTTTCAAAGTTTCACTACTAATGAGAAAATGCTTCTCATTAAAACCTTTCATGGGGTAAATTAGTATTTTTTTATTTATGTAAAAAGAGAGGATAACCGATAAGACGGCCCTATCAATCAATTATACATTTATTGCTGCAGCGGCAGGTTGATCTGGCACGTTG